TTTTCTCTCTATATATATTTTTTTAGTTGTTCAGATCATTTCTTTCTATTTTTTAGTAGAGACGGGGTCTCGCTCTTGCTCAGGCTGGTCTCGAACTCCTGGCCTTGAGCGATCCACCCGCCTCGGCCTCCCAGAGTGCTAGGATTACAGGCGTGAGCCACCACGCCCAGCCCTGTATTTATTCTTTAAGTTTTTAATTGATACATAATAATTGTGCATATTTGTGGGTTACATATGGTATCTTGATACATGTATACAATGTATAATGGTCAAATCAGGGTAACTGGCATGTCCATCGCCTTAAACATTTACCATTTCTTTGTGTCATGAGCATTCAAAATCTTTTCTTCTAGCTATTTTGAAATAAACAATAAATTATCGTTAACTATAGTCACCCTATTGTGCCAAAGAACACTAAAATTTATTCCTCTTATCTAACTGTAATTTTGTACCCATTAACCAACCTCTCCCTATTCTCCCTCTACCCAACTAGCCTTCCCAGCCTCTGGTAACCACTGTTCTATTCTGTACTTCTATGTGATCATTTTTTTTTAGCTCTCATGTATGAGTGAGAACATGTGGTATTTATTTTTCTGTGCTTGACTTATTTCACTTAACATAATGTCCTCCAGGCTCATCCGTGTGCTGCAAATGACATGATGTCATTCTTTTTATGGCTCAATAATATCTTGACTATTATGAATCATGCTGCAATAAACATGGGAGTACAGATATCTCTTTGACATACTGATGTCCTTTCCTTTAGATTTGTACCCATTAGTGGGATTGCTGGATCATATCATGGTTCTATTTTTAGTTTTTGAGGAACCTTCATACTATTTTCCATAATGGCTATACTAATTTACATTCACACCAATGGTGTATAAGAGTTCCCTTTTCTTTGCATCCTTGCCAGCATTTGTTATTTTTTATCTTTTTGATAATAGACATTTTAACTGGGATAAGATGATATCTCATAAATGTTTTGATTTGCATTTTCTTTATGATTACTGATGTTGAGCATGTTTTCATATACCCGTTGGCCATTTGTATGTTTTTTTCTAAGAAATATCTATTCAGATCATTGGTCCATTTTTAA